CCCTGCCGGCAGCCGTGGCGCCCGCCTCCTCCTCCTCCACCCTCCTCCTCCTCGGAGGTGGAGGAGCCTCGTTTGCTGGTCCGGCCGCCCCGGCGACGGCGGTTCTTCTTGCAGAGGGTGTAGAAGTTGGGCTTGTCGCGGGAGCAGAGCTTGAGGCGGATCTTGAGGTCGGACGAGGTCTCACCCAGGTTCTCCTTGCCAGGTGTGTAGTTGTCCAGTAGTTCCTTGACATGGGTCACCTGGTGTTTGGACAGCTGCGTGGATGTGCGGAAGCTCATGTCACACTGCGGGCAGGCGTAGAACTTATCGCCACCCGGACTTTGCACAATGGCGGTTGCCACATGCCGCTGCCTCTTGGTCTTCTTGTTCTTGGCACCAGCCTTCAGCGAGTGGCGCAGGGTGGTCATGTTGGGCCCAAGGGCCATGTCCTTGGGGATTCCTTTTCCTTTCTTGTGGATGAGGCGGTGGCGCGACAAGCTGGAGCTATGGTTGAACTCCTTCCCGCAGATGTTGCAGGGGTGGATCCGACGCTTCCCATGCAACCGCAGGTGGCTGCCCAGCATCCTGATGGGAAAACCAGACATAAAATTGATCAGCGCTGCCAATGACCAATTTACCAATCGATCAGCTAGTGATTGAGAACATTTTCATCTTCTTATCCCAAATCTGAGCGCGCTCTGAGACTTGCTCGTATGAGAGTTCACAGACGGATTCAACTACCTCTAACATCACCATATGACGACAGTTGCTGGGTTCAATGCTAATGTGCATCAGGTTTTGTTTTTATTTTGTATTTATTACGGTGCTTTGAACAGTATTCATGATTTATTTATTTACTGAGCATCGTGTTCTGTGTTACTTGTTTTTATGTTGCTGCCTACCTCAGCCACGACACTCATCTCAGTGAGATTTCTGGTCAAATAAAGGCTGAACAAAAACTCCAGATTCACTCAGATGAAGCCACTATAATTCAGACTGTTGCTGTCTTTTCAGCTCTCAACCAGTCCTAGATGTCACTCCAGGAAAGTACAAGAAAATGAATGAATGCCAGTAATTTCCTGAAACCCTTGGTACGTGAAGAACAAATCAGGTAGCACAACCAGTTGTAACACGAGGTTCATTTGTGTTGTGAAGAAAACCAGGTGACGGCAGCTCATCTTTACAACAGACACATCAGAGCGATAAGAAGGGAGGATCACTGAGAAGCATGGTGATGTACTAAAAGACAATCACATGTATGAGAACCTTTACCCCTGTTACCATGCAACAATGTTATTAAAAATATTCAATTCATTTAATGATAATGATCCTCCAGCCACATTAAAACTAGTAAAGTACATTCACAAGTTGTCACCAAAGATATGCTATATTGATTTTTAGAATGCGTTTATTATTTATTGCAATGTCACGCTTCACAGTAACATCAACATTTAACTAAAGTGTTTGTAAGAGCTGCTGTGTATTTAACAAACCACCACGTCACGGTTTTTGTTTCATTTGAGGCCCTGAAGCTTATAAAGCCTCTCAGCCTCAAGCTGATCAGTTAAATTATTGATCCGATATGACTGAAACCCTGAAGCTGACATGACCCTCTCCAGAGGAGACATCTCATTCTGGTGGAGTTGCTGAACTACAGAAGCACTCCGAGGTGTCACAGAGTGGAGCATTCTTACTCAGAAACAATCTTTGGTGAGTTTCACTTCACTCTGAATTAACACGAGTAATTTTACAAATGACACTGGCTGCGGCTGTTCGTCCTTTGGCAAAAACTCCAGATCACCTGAAAAAGCTCCAACCTGCAAGTTTCTAACAACAGAGCAAAGGAACCGAGTCTAGATCGGAATCTGGATTCTTCAAACCAGCTCGAAGAGTCTTCATTATTTTGTCACCTACTTGTGGTTCCTGCTTGTTGTCGATACATATTTCTGTTCTCTAAACCCCTTTTTTACCTGCAACTAACACCGTAACACTGTACTTGTGTCTCCAGCATCATCATCTGTGTATATTTGTGTTGAAATAAGAACTGTTTGTCCTGCTCATGTCTGTTGTTCAGCTGACCAGTTGCTAATTTCTGACACTGTAAACACAGACCTGTGACAGTGATCAGAGAAGAACCAGTAAGGAAGCGCCATCAGCTGTGCAGTACACACCTGCTGCCTTTGAAGCTCATCCCACAGTGGGGGCAGGTATAGCGTGCGTCTTGGTGTGTCGACTCCAGCGCCCGTTTGACTGGTGGCGGTGCCCCACTGCTCTTCCCAGTGTGGGTCTGCTGGTGGCGGTACAGGCTGGAGGCGTGACTGTAGCACTTCCCGCAGTAGCTGCAGCGGTACTGCCGCTCGTCTGGCTCAAAGTCAGCCTGGTCCGAGTCGGCCTCGCCGTCCAGCTGGCTGCCACCCGCCTCCACCAGCACCTCCTGCTCCTCCTCGGCGTCCTCCTCATCGTCAGAGTCTGTCTTTATTTCCACGCTCTGCTCTGTCACCTCACAGGGGTACACCTCCTCATAGGGTGCAAAGAAGGCCTCGTCAGTCTCGATCTTCAGCTGGTCAGCCGTCAGCTCCGCCTCATCTGAATCCTTCTTCACACAGGAGATGGTGAACTTTGACCCTACCTCTGCCCACTTCACAACATACTCAATGGGTTGTGTGTCCAGCTCCACCGTAATGAAGTCTGCACCCAGGGCGTCTGGCTCCGACACCGCCAGCTCCGTCTCTGAGTCCTCCATCCTGAACCGAGGCAGTGGCGAGGAAGAGCTTCAGAGTAACAGCTGCAGGCCTGGGGAGGAAGAGGACCAAGAGAGGAGGCAAAGGGGAAGAAGAGGAAGCAGAAGAGAAAATTAGATTAAAATTTTAAATGCAAATTAAAAGCAACAAATACACGACAGCAGAAAGTAGCAACATGTAAATGTAGAGAATGAAAATCAATTAATAAAAGTAACCTGACCTGAACCTAGTTGTTTGAGGATTCAGTCTTCATTATACTGTCTACCTCTTTACTCAAGTCGTACTAAGACTACTGAGTGCTTTAAATGTAAAAAAAAAAAAAAAAGTGATTAGTTGATCAATCGATTGACAGAAAATCAATCTCTAACTTGTTAGCTGCTTTTTAATATTCACTGACAGCAGCTGCTTCACTGTAAATATTCCATTTGCTCTGACAGTGAACTTGTCTGTCAGCTGGTTGATTGTAAATGAACTCACTGAAAAGATTAATGGATAGATTTGTTTTTTTTCTGCTGACTGTGTTCTAGTAAAATATGTCACTTTTCCAGCCATAGCCAAACTTTAGCCTCGTCTGTGTCAAGTCCAAACCTCCGCCAAAGTCGTGTTATTCCACTGTAGAACTGAGAGGCTGAAAAGGTTTCATCATCTGTCCCAGTTATTTTCTTTATTAATCGACAGCTTATTAAATTAAATGTCAGAAAATAGTGACATATGGTGCACAAACATGTTTAGTTTTATATTTTCCGGAGAAACGCTCGTTGTACTGTCTGATTACTGCAAGTTTTTTTACCTTGTACTTTCAAAACTCAGCTGAACATGTGACGTGTCCAAACTTCTGCATACAACTGTAGCTTATACTGTCCTTCAGTGATGTGAATTTCCAACACATCTGTGATTAACTACATCATGTAGACCCAATTTCATTGTTCATTTTCTCAGCTATTTCCCCATTCGGTACCCCACGGAGGGCAGATCCTGGACCGAGGTGAAATTGGTTTGAAGTCGGGTATTTGACAGACATTCGAATGCTGTCCAGTTCTCGCTGTCTGAGGACAACAAGACCTCAGTCTACCCCACACATAACTGCACTAAGTTAGGGACCGTCTGTAAACTACTGTCCAACTGAAATGTATTAATATCCAGTAGAATGGAGTGTGCACTGTGAAACATATACATATAAAACATATAATTTTCTCCACTCGCCCCCCACTTTGAGGCGGTCTTGTATTCCTTCTTTCAAGCTCAGGTCCTCTACCAGAGGCCTGGGAGCTTGAAGGTCCTGCGCAGTATCTTAGCTGTTCCTAGGACTGTACTCTTCTGGACAGAGATCTCAGATGTTGTTCCTGGGATCTGTTGGAGCCACTCTCCCAGTCTGGGGGTCACAGCCCCCAATGTTCCTATTACCATGGGGACCACTTGTGCCTTCACCTTCCACATCTTTTCTAGCTCTTCTTTCAGCCCTTGGTATTTCTCGAGCTTCTCGGAGGTGTATCCCATTTTGACTTTGGGACTTCCAGCCTGTACTCGGCACAGATGTTTCTGTACACTATGCCAGCCACTTGGTTATGGCGTTCCATGTAAGCCCTGCCTGCTAGCATCTTGCACCCCACTGTTATGTGCTGGATTGTCTCAGGGGCATCTTTGCACAGCCTGCACCTGGGGTCCTGTCTGGTATGGTAGACCCTGACCTCTATTGATCTTGTACTTAGAGCCTGTTCCTGTGCTGCCAGGATTAGTGCCTCTGTGCTGTCTTTCAGTCCAGCTTTGTCCAGACACTGGTAGGATTTTTCGATATCGATACATATACATATATATATATATATATAAAATTACATTACCTAGCAAATCACTTAATATTTTACATTAAAATTAAAGTACTAACGTACTATTGTTGTAGCACTTTGTGCTCTTGAGCTGGAAAGTGCGGTAGAAATAAAGATTATTATTATTATTAATGATTAAAAGAACAAACTGTTAAAATCACATTTAAAATGGGTAATTTTATGGGTAATGCTCCCACATAGCATATATTCTCTCTGCATTATATTGTGTTCTTGTTATTTTTTTATTTGCTCCCATTGTTTGCTGCTTTCAAGTGCCTTAGATTTGTGACTTTACTCTATTTAGATTTGTGTTATTGCTCATCTACTTTATATTTCACTTGTTTTATGTGGTATTCATGTGGACGGCAAAGTAAGAATTTCATTGTACAGGGAAACACGTTTCCTAACTGGGCATATGACAAATAAACACCGTGACCTAATTTATTCATATTAATCCTGATGCAAGCTAACATACAGGTGTTACAAATAGCTAATCTAGCATTTCAGTTGGACAATAATTTAAAGGAGGTCCCTAACTTAGTGCGGTTATGTGCGGGGTAGGTGAGGTCCTGTTGCCCTACTCAGACAGCAGAACTAGATAGCGTTCGATTGCACGGAGGTCTTTTCGGCCGAATGTCTTTCGGATATCCAACTTCAAACCATTTTCACCTCGGTGGATCCTAGCAGTGCGTCCATTAAAGATGACACTTTATTCACATTTACATCTTATTTATGGATTATCTGAAGGCCGAAATCATTACACATTATTTTATTTCTTAAAATGTGTTAAATTATTTTAAAATTCACTTTCTGTTTGATATAAAGCGATGACGTTTTAAATTGTGCATTTTCTGAGTGGAGTTCCGGGGCTCGGTCGAGCTTAGTGGCAGTGATGAGAAAGCGGAGGGGGGGGGGGGGGGTTTTCTCTTCCTAAACGTTAAGTATCAAAATAACAGAGAAAACCGCGCAATAAACAGCGTTAACCTCATTTGGAGGTGAAACGTATCGGTATTCGGTTACTCACCGATCTTTAAAGGCGGCACAGCGGCGAAAACGTTACAATTTTACCGGTGGAGACGGTGACAATAAACAGGAAGCAGGGGACGTGAACGCAAGGCATTGTGGGAAAGGATTAAATGGTTGCACAGAACGGAAGTACCATAGCCTGCCCTTCACAATAAAAGCACAGTAAAATTAAGCAACTTTATATAATATTAAAAACAAATTAATTCATAAATGTAAACAAAAAACACAAAATTCATACAAATGAAATTGAACAGGAAACAACAAGAACAACAACAATAATACTCATTGAAAAAAAATCAAAACTAAATTAATTTTTTATTCATCCCAGCTTGTCACAATTTAAATACATGTACTGACAGTTTTTAAAATGATTATTAATTTTTTGGACTATATTTCCTGAGTCACCAGGAGCAAATGAGCTTTCTTTGTTTTCCAGAGGTATGTAAAAAAAAAACTTATCAGTGTTATTTTTGAATTAAACTGAAGCATGTTAAGTTTCCTACACAATAATTCTGTTTTGTGACACTCTACTGTGGGGATTTTGAGCTCTGTCAACAGGAGTAGCTCTCTCCTAAAACTACCTAGCTTGACAGGTTTAGCCCTTTCTGTCATCAAAAACAGTTCTCTGTCGCTGTTTTGGCCTCCACTGCTAGGCTATAATAATAATAATGATAATAACAACAATAATAATATGACAGAGCTACATTATACATGCTTTAATTGTAGTATATATACACTACCAGATAAAAGTTGACACACGTTCATATTCAAGTTAATGTATAATATGAAGTATATAACGTAGCCTATATACGACGTGTATTCCACACATACATGCACATAAAGCTATCCAGCTATTTCAGTCCAATTTGCTGCAGTTTTACCATTTGCTGTAAACACTCCTCTACAGTACAGAGAGTTTTTGATATTTGACAGTTTACAAATTCCCATAATCTTTAATCACTGATATATGGAGATAATATAAAAAGTTATGACAATGTTCCCTTAAACTTTGTATTAAGAATGGCGACCCAGAAACATCATGATCATTTAGTTTCTTGTCAGCTGATACTTGGGCCTGGACTCCGCTCTCTTTCTATCTCTTTACACCTTTGATTAAATTTTATTTTTTGTGTTTACCTGATCTGTCTCTTGTGCTGTTGGAGCACCTCGGGTCAGTCCTGAGGATCAATCAAATCTTCGATTATCAATAGGAAACGCTGCAGACACAAAGGGGGACTAGACATTATTGACTGAATATGTCTGCACACCTGCTTTGGTTTCTAATTTATAATGAGAACACTGCTTATAACAGGCTGATGTTAATGATTATCATACTGTATATATTCACAAAATAAAAACAAATATGAGGCAGAGACAAAATGTTAAATGGTCTTATACTTGTATAGCGCCTTTCTATGCTTTTACAGCACACTCAAAGTGCTTTCACATTATTCGGCCATTCACCCATTCGCACTCCCAAGCACTCACGCATTCACACACTGGTGACATCACCGGGAGCAACTGGGGGTTCAGGGCATGTTGTACTTATTGTAGCATTAGGGGCTGAAGAGACACTTGGCGGGATCCCACAAAATGCCCCTCTGGGCGGGATGTATTTAGTTCAAGGTTGGCAGGGATTGCTTGGTGTGTTTCTGTGTTTGGTCTGTCTGTGGTGCAATTTCCCTGTGTGTGGAGAAATAAAAGAGAAAAGGCAGCTTCTCTCTCCAGCTCCTTCTTCAAGCTAGCCTATGTTACATTGGTATCAGAGGTGGGATGGGGAAAGGCTGCACCCAACCGTGGTGCTGCAGCGGCTGGCCGAAGAGTTGCACACATCATCAAAGCCAGCCAGGGGCTTATCCACGCCTACACCGTTTTCCAGGTCTACTGAGACCAGATGAGCCGGTGATGGCTTGTATGAGAGGAGCTGCATGAGGAGGACCAGGACACCGCCACATGACAGACAGCAGCCTGGAGGGGGCTGACCCAGCATTTGCATACTCCTCGGCAGCAGGACCAGGTAGAGGGATTGACAGACACTGGCCCAAGACACCTGCAGCCTGGGAGAGAACTTTGTCCCTGGTGTGCTGGTATGGGTGTACAGCCAGGGACCGAAGAAGGGCTTGTCCCCACAGTCAGCGAGCCAGTGGAGCAGACCCTGTACTGTGCTGAAAAGGCTGTCAGATGTGGTGTACAGGGACAAACTGAGTAAAAAGAACTGGGTGGCGCTTCACTGGGACAGACTCGCACCATACTGGCCTGGGGCTTCACCTGAGACGGGAGAGTCTGACAACATGAGCCAACAACGGGCTCTAGACCCCTCTCCACCAGCTGCCCAGGAGCCACCAGAGCAAAAGCAACACCAGTACCGGCTGCCACCAACACGTAAGAGACTTTGCTATGACTGAGGCTACACAGCCCCCAGCCAGGTGGGGGCAGAGAGACACTTGGTGTTTCCCCCAGAATGCCTTAGGGGTGAAGCACCTCTATGAGAATCCCCCATAATGGCCCTCTGGGCAGGTTGTATTTAGTTTGGGGTTGGCAGGGACTGTTCAGTGTGCTCTGGGTTCGGTCTGTCTGTGGTGTAGGTGCCCTGTGCTGTGTGTGTGTGTGTGTGAGAGAGTGTGAGAGAGAGAGAGAGAGAGAGAGAGAGAGAGAGGGGGG